AAAAAAAAAAAAAAAAAAAAAAAAAAAAAAAAAAAAAAACTGGAAAAAAAGCAAATTCCCTTCCTGTTTAAAAATGAAACTTTTATTTGGCAAGCAAGAGAAATCTGCTTCTTTAAGACCATAGAGGGACCTCTTTTTCCTGCAGTCCAGTAACAGGTACCCTGAACAATCTTCCTCACCTCCTAAGCAGTAAATCAATATATTTAAAAAGATGTCTTAAGTGGGAGTTGAACAATGAGAATACATGAACACAGGGAGAGAAACGTCACACACTGGGGCCTTCGGGGGTGGAGAGCAAGAGGAGGGAGAGCATTAGGACAAACCTAATGCATGCAGGACTTAAACCTAACTGACAGGTTGATAGGTGCAGCAAACCACCACCATAACACATGTATACCTATGTAACAAATCTGCATGTTCTGCACATGTATCCCAGAACTTAAAGTAAAATAAACAATTTTTTTTAAATAAATATTAGCCAAGATGCCCTGGATCTAGTAATTGAATGCTAACCAAGAAAATGAGATTCACCCAGCCATTTTAGCATACACAGATCATTTAAGAATATAACCATTATTAAAAATACAGAAGATTTTTGTTAAAGCCCTAATTTACTTTTACATTTCTAATGCAAAATATATATGGAATAAACTTATTTCAAAAAAAAGATGGACTGATTAAGCAAGTATTTCAGTAATAACTGTTACAGGCAAAGACCATGGATGGAGGCTAAAATCAGTGAGTGGGAGTAGATTGAATAACAGGATATTTGCATAGTCTCAGATTATCTCCACACAAAACATTTACCAGTTACAAAGTGGAAAACTGTAACTTGACAGAGAAAAATCTGGCAAATGACAAGACATGCCGACATCACATGCCCCAACATGATGTACTGAGAAGGGTGCAAGATCACTTTTGTAGTATTCTAGCCAAAAATGCCCCACTTCAATCTCACAATGAGAAGACATCAGGTAGACACACGGTGAGGGACATTCTACAACCTGACAAAATAAGTGACTCTTCAAAAGTGGCAAGGTCATGAAAAACAAGGAAAGACAAGGGAATGGCCACATATTGAAAGAGACTAAGAAGCTACAACAAATAACTGTGGTGTGGAATTGTGGACTGGATCCTGGACCAGAAAAAAGGACAGTAGTGGGACAACTGGCAAAATTCAAGTGAGTCTGTAGTGTAGCCCATAATATGTTTTCAGTGTTAATTTCCTCATTTTGATAACTGTGCTGTGTAAGATGCTATCAATAGAAGTCGGATGAAGTTTACTACTTACCTAACTTTTCTGTAAGCCTAAATTATTTCTAAGTAAAAGTTAACAGCCAGGCGTGGTGGGATGCACCTATAGTCCTAGGCATTTGGGAGGCTGAGAGGCAGGAGGATCACTTGAGCCCAGGAGTTCAAGACCAGCCTGGGCAACATGGCAACACTCCACCTCTAAAAAAAAAAAAAAAAATTTGTTTTTAATTAAGTGTGGTGGTACACGTCCATAGTCCCGGGTACTTGGAAGCTAAGGCAGGAGGACTGTTGAGCCCAGGAGCTCAAGGCTGCAGTGAGCTCTAATCATGCCACTGTACGCCAGCATTGGTGACAGAATGAGACCCTATCTCAAAAAAAAAAAAAAAAAAAAAAAAAAAGGCAGCCTAAGAAAGCTGTAGGAAAATTTTTAGAAATAAAAATAAAATGAATAAAATATATAAGAACTAAAGAAATATATTCCACCTAGCATTTTAGTTGGTTCGTTGAGAGGTTTTTTTGCCTAAGCCACTAGAAGGCTGGCATTGCCACCAACTGATATGGGTAAGCCCACAGTGGCATGGTTTGGGGTCAGGAAGTGAAATTAAGAGGTCAGGGTTAGACACATTGAGTTTGGGGGTCTCTTAGATACCCAAGCAGGGATATGTAAACAGGCAGCCAAACTTAATGTGTCTAGCACAGAGACCCAGAAGATTGATGAATTCATGAATTTAACACACTCCAAGTAAAAATAACATGATTACTTTCTCAAAGTACATAAGCTGATTTAAAAATTCATATAAAAAAAAAAAACATTTAAGAAGAGTTGGGATAAACTCTGAAGAACAATGTGGGAGAAACTGACCTTACCTAGCAGGAAAGCACAGTAAAAATCCTCAATAGCTAAAACACTGTGTCTTCAGCATGTAGACAGACAAGACAGATAGATAAAAAGGATAGAAACAAATGTTTTCAGTGAATGGAAGTTTTTAAAAATTAAAAATAATAAGAAATAAAATTTAAGGCCGGGCGCGGTGGCTCAAGCCTGTAATCCCAGCACTTTGGGAGGCCGAGGCAGGTGGATCACGAGGTCAAGAGATCGAGACCATCCCGGTCAACATGGTGAAACCCCGTCTCTACTAAAAATACAAAAAATTAGCTGGGCATGGTGGTGCGTGCCTGTAATCCCAGCTACTCAGGAGGCTGAGGCAGGAGAATTGCCTGAACCCAGGAGGCAGAGGTTGCGGTGAGCCGAGATCGCGCCATTGCACTCCAGCCTGGGTAACATGAGTGAAACTCCGTCTCAAAAAGAAAAAAAAAAAAGAAAGAAAAGAAATAAAATTTAAAAGTTCATAAATACATATAGTAAGTTAATAGAAGATAAAGCCAGAAACTCAAATTAGTAAAGCTAAAGGTGGTTTTTTAAATAAATGGTTTTGGGAAGCCACTTAGTAAATACCTGAAGATAAAGTGTTCAACCGATGCTTTATATGTATATGGGATGAACTACAAATAGATAAAAGATTTCAAAGTAAAAAATGAAAGCATAAAAGCAGGAGAGGGAAAAATAGCCAAATTTCTTTGTGACTTTGGAGTAGAAAATGTCACATGAATCACATGAAACTTGATTCAAAAGCTAGCAGACATTACAAAAAATTGACAATCTACTGCTTAAGGATCAAAATTATCTACCCAGCAAACAGTTCCTTAAGCAAGGTCCAAGGGCAAATGACAAAATAGAGAAAGATATCTGCAACTCACAGCATGTATAAAACACTCACAGAAATAAAGAACCTGACAAATGAACAGGCCAGAGGAAGTGGCTCATGCCTGTAATCCCAGCACTTCAGGAGGCTAAGGTAGAAAGGTGGCTTGAGCCCAGAAACTTGAGACCAGCATGGCCATCATAGTGAGACCCTATCTCTACAAAATATAAAAATAGCCAGGCACAGTGGCTCACGCCTATGATCCCAGCATTTTGAGAGGCTGAGGCAGGCAGAATATCTGAGGTCAAGAGTTTCAGGCCAGCCTGGCCAACATGGTAAAATCCCATCTCTACTAAAAATACAAAAATTATCTGGGCATGGTGGTGGGTGCCTGTAATCCCAGGTACTCAAAATTAGCTAGGCCAGATAGTGCATGCCTGTGTTTCCAGCTACTCAGGAGGCTGAGGTGGGAGGATTGCTTCAGTCTGAGAGGTCTAGGCTGCAGTGAGCCATGATCATGATGCCACTATACTCCAGCCTGGGTGACAGAGAGCCAGACCCTGTCTCAAAAAGAAAAAGAGGAAAAAAAAAAAAAAAAAGGACAAACACATCAACAGTTAAGAGAAAAGGAAACACAAGTCATTCAAACATCTGAAAAAATGTCCAACCACACTCTATACATTAAAACTATAATGGCCCATCTATCAGATGGGTGAAATTCTAAAAGTTCAAAATACACTCTGCCAACAGAGCTAGGAGAAATATGGCAGTCTTACACTGCAGAAAAATGCAGTGCCTACAAAAGGCCAACTGGCACCATCTATCCCATTTCTGAAAACGTATCCAATAGGGTCTCCCGCTACATATGAAGCGGCATATGTACAAATGTATTCGTCATGTCACTGTTGTTTTTAAAAAACAAAAATTAGAAATAACCCAGGAGTCCAACAATACAAGGCCTATTAAATAAGCCAGGCTATGGTCCTACCATAGAAGAGTACATAGCAGTTTAAAAAAGAGAGATTTAATTTGTTCAGAATAAAAGAAAAAAAATAAGAAAGAAGTCTCTATGAACTGCTGTGAAAAGAATCTCTAGGAAACACTGTGAATTTTTTTTAAAGCCAAGATATAAAACAGTATACCACATCCTACCTTTTGTATAGAAAGGGAAATATTTTTAAAAATTCATATTTGCTCACATTTGCAAATGGATAGATGGATAGAAAAAATTAATAAAAATGATTACCTCTAGAAAGCCAGAGAAACAGGCTGGACAGAAATAAGAAAGAGAGCAAACCTTTCCAGTTTAGACCTTTTCATATCATTTTGATATGTGAACTACCTGATCATACTACCTAGTCAAATATTAATTAGAAAAACAAAGTTAGAAGACTCGCATCTCCCAATTTCAAAACTTACTACAAAGTTACAGTAATCAAAACAGTATGGTACTGTATAAGGACAGAAACATAGAACAATGAAATAAAACTGAGAGCCCAGAAGTAAACCCTCACATATATGGTCACTTGATTTTCAACAAAGGTACAAAGACCACTTAATGGGTGAAAGAACAGTCTGTGCAACAAATGGTAATGGGACAATTGGATATCAACTTGTAAAAGAATGAAGCTAGACCCTTGTCTCACATCATATAAGAAAATTCACTCAAAATAGATCAGAGACCTTAATGTAAGAGTCAGCACTATTAAACATTGAGAAGAAAACATAGAGTTAATTTTCAAGACATTCAAATTTGTCAAGGGTTGCTTAGACATAACACCAAAAACATAAGCACAAAATGAATAAAAAAGAGATAAACTGGATTTCATTAAAATTAGAAAACTGCAAGCATCAAAGAACACTATCAAGAAAGTGGAAAGACAACCCATAGAGTAAGAGGAAAAAGTCTGCAAATTACAAATCTGAGAAAGGTCTATTATCCAGAATATATAAATTACTCCTACAATTGATAAAAGAAAAATGGCTCAGAGCAGTCTGAACTAAAGTGTGCAAAGTTTATCAAGCCCAGAGAAACCTTCAGTCATGCCACTTTAGCCTCACCCCCTAACCCCACCACCTCATCCCCATATCCAGGTCAATTGTTTAAGGGCATTTTGTTGCTGATAGCTGCCTCACCATTATCTTTATGTTCCTAGAATCTGTGATACAAAAAACAATGTAGAGTCAAACAATAGCATATGTTTTGTTTTTTTTTTTTTTGGGGGGGGGGACGGGGTTCCGCTCTTTTTGTACCTGGGATTACAGGCACGCGCCACCATGCCCAGCTAATGTTTTGTATTTTTAGTAGAGACGGGGTTTCACCGTGTTGACCAGGATGGTCTCGATCTCTTGACCTCGTGATCCACCAGCCTCGGCCTCCCAAAGTGCTGGGATTACAGGCTTGAGCCACCGCGCCCGGCAGCATATGTTGTTTTAATGTAAATTCTTGGTAAACAATTTTTAATGTAAATCCTTGCCTCTTAGTTTCTTTTTTTTTTTTTTGAGAAGGAGTTTCACTCATGTTACCCAGGCTGGAGTGCAATGGCGCGATCTCGGCTCACCGCAACCTCCGCCTCTTGGGTTCAGGCAATTCTCCTGCCTCAGCCTCCTGAGTAGCTGGGATTACAGGCACGCACCACCATGCCCAGCTAATTTTTTGTATTTTTAGTAGAGACGGGGTTTCACCATGTTGACCAGGATAGTCTCGATCTCTTGACCTCGTGATCCACCCGCCTCGGCCTCCCAAAGTGCTGGGATTACAGGCTTGAGCCACCGCGCCCGGCCGCCTCTTAGTTTCTTTTTGAAAATCCACTTGTGGCCAGGAGCAGTGGCTCACGCCTGCAAACCCAGCATTTTGGGAGGCCGAGGAGGGTGGGTCACCTGAGGTCTGGAGTTGGAGACCAGCCTGATCAACATAAACAAACTCCGTCTCTACTAAAAATGCAAAATTAGCCAGGTGTAGTGGCACATGCCTGTAATCCCAGCTACTCTGGAGGCTGAGGCAGGAGAATCATTTGAACCCAGGAGGCAGAGGTTGCAGTGAGCCGAGATGGCACCATTGCACTCCAGCCTGGGCAACAAGAGTGAAACTCTGTCTCGGAAAAGAAAGGGAAAGGAAAGGAAAGGAAAAAGGAGAGAAGAAGGAAAGAAATGAAAAGGGAAGGGAAGGGGGAAGGGGGAAGGGGGAAGGGGGAAGGGGGAAGGGGGAAGGAAAGAGGAAAGAGGAAAGAGGAAAGAGGAAAGAGGAAAGAGGAAAGGAAAGGAAAGGAAAGGAAAGGAAAGGGGCAAGGAAAGGAAAAAGGAAAGGAAGAAAGAAAGGAAAGAAAGAAAGGAAAGAAAGAAAGAAAAAGAAAGAAAGAAAGAAAGAAAGAAAGAAAGAAAGAAAGAAAGAAAATCCACTTGTAACTGCTGCTAATCAGAGTGTATATTCATAGCAACTTGAATCTATGTTCCTGGGTTGCAATCCTCAAGGTTGGCCCAAATAATCTCTCTACTTCTATTAATTTTGCTTCAGCTCCTTCATTTTAGGACAATAGAACTCAATAACAAAAAGGCAAACAAGTCAATTTTAAAATAAGGGCCTGAGTAGACATTTCTCCAAAGGAGATATACAAATGGACAACAACCACAATAAAAGATGCTCAAATGCTCAGTATCATTAGGCATTAGGAAAACATAAGCTAAAACCACAATGATGTACCACTCCAAACCCACTAAAGAGGGCTATGATAAAAATTAATTAATTAATTATTTTAAAAGCAGAAAATAACACGTGTTGACAAGGATGCAGACAATTGGAACCCTCATACATTGCTGGCAGGCATGTAAAATGTTCAGCTACTGTGGAACCTCCTCCCTTGGTTACACCATATGATCCAGCAACTTCACTTCTGAATATATACCCAAAAGAATTGGAAACAGGTGTTTAAATAAAAACTTTTACATAAATGTTCACAGGAGTACTACTAACAATAGCCAGAGGGTGAAAACAACCCAACTGTCCATCAACAGCAAAATGTGGTATATTCATCTAATGGAAATTATTTATAAAAAGGAATGAGGTACTGATACGTGCTATACATGAATGAACCTTGAACACATTATGTAAGTGAAAGAAGTTAGACACAGAAGGCCACACAGTATAATTCCATTTATATGAAATATCCAGAATAGGCAAATCCATAGAGACTGAAAGCAGGTTGGTGGTTGCCAGGGGCAAGGGCAGGAAAGAATGAGTGACTGCTTAATGGGTATGGTGTTTCCTTTTGGGGTAATGAAAATGTTTGGAACTAGATGGTGCCGATGATTGTACAAAGTTGTAAACGTACACTTTAAAATGGTTTTCACACTTT